TGAAGTTCTGTGGCAGAGCACTTGCCTAGTATGCATGAGAACCTTTAGTAATGCCAGACCTTCAGATATGTGCAAGAAATAGTTAACCATCGTTGAATGCAGTGTTTCTAATTCTTTTTTTCATTGTCTGGTCTCCAACGAGCCTTTTTAGATATTTTTTCCCCTAATAACTCCTCTTCCACCAAATTTTCACACCACAGATATATATGTGTGCTTTGTACATAAAAATAATAAAACTTTTCCACACACACACCTCTCCCTAGAATCAGTTTTCCTTTTCCTTTGGGGGAATGTTATCCACTAAAAATGTATAATTTAGGAGACTGAACTTCTATAGTACCTAAACTCTATGTTCAAATAAAAACTAGGTGTAGAAAGGTCTAAGTTTATTTACCTGAAAACCATTTTCATCTAGAGTGTGTAAGAGGTGAAGTTCAGAGGTGACAGAGCAGTTGAGAATAAGAAAAAATAGTCCTGACAGGAGATGTGAAATCAGGGAGGGGTTGGGGAGGGTGTTGTTTCTTCAAAGGAGTGGTTAAGGGATGGGCTGAAATTGGAAAAAAAAAGTGGTGCTCCATCCTGATTGATTGCTGCTTTCTAGTCCAGGTGGATTGTCAGCAGAGGATGTTTAGGTTTAGATGTGTGTCAACCTCAGGGTGGGGGGTGTACTCTCCCTCTGGTCAGCGTATTCCACACCTGCCCCTTCTCCACCAGGCTGAGGGTGGGATCTCCAGACACCAGAGACAAGGGAGATACCTGCAGAACTTCCATAAATACAAGGAAGGGAATGCTATAGGAAGTCACTTTTGTCCAACATCTCCCCAATGCCCGCTTGCCTCTTCCAGTATCTCAACCCTGCTCACCCAAATCCATTGATCAAAGGGACGCTGTTGGCTATTCTTAAGGCATTGCCATCTGAGGTGGTGGAATTCGGCGACAGCTCCAAGTCTACTTCCATTTTCTCCTGTGCCATGCCCATGTCAAGGATGAAACCACTGCTTAGTTCGAAGTTCTCAATGCTTTCTGGTTTCTGTTCATATAAGGACAAGCCACCTATGATATGTAAGGAGAGAGGCAAAAGGGAAAAAAAATAAAGGAGGAAGCTCTTAGACGATTAGGAGTGTTCACCTTTGTAGGCCAAACATCACTAACACCAGTGGGCACAAAGTTTGACAGAACTGGCTCCAAACTTCCTTACCCCTATCATCGGCCCCTAACGCAGAAAAGGTCTCTCACCTCCAAGTCTATAATACAAAATGAGGCATTTATCTCAGTCACCGCTGAGATCCCTTCTCCTTTATCTTTGTAAGGCGCCACAAGCTCAGCTAAGCCTTTCCAGCCAAAACAAAAACTACAATTTGCCGCCTTCCGGAGTCGATTTAGTCCCGCCCCTTCCCGCAAGCGCCCTGCATCTGACTAGAGGACGCTTGCTTATACGCGGGCAATTAACGTCACTCTAGGTGTCTTTGTCACCCTTAACAGGAGCTCATTTGCAATCGAGGAACCGCCTTTTTCCCAGTGCCAGTTCCCACTGCCGGTTCCCACTGCTCTTGCTGCTGAGGATTTGCAATGAATGTTCTTCCTCTGTTACTATGCAAATCCCACCACCGTTTCTTTAATCTTTACTTAAGAAAGATAATTGGGCGGAGTGTTTTGCATGGAAAGTGTTTTGCCTTCCAATCTGCCCTGTCTAATGCTCAATTTTCTGTTTTGGCTAGCCTAACTCCTTATGTTTTCCATCCTGTAACAACAGACACACTACACCTTTAGAATCTTAAAAAAGCTAAAGTTTGAAACGAAAATCAACGAAGTGTGTAGGGTCTCAATAAAACGATTACCTCATTGAACCTATTGAGCAGATTGGTTCTGCAATTGTGTAGAATCAAGTTTTCAATGTGGTTTCATTTTTACCATAATCGTAATGTGTGTATTTTTCTATGGGATAAATTTTGACTTCTCATAATTAGTCATCTAAGAAATAAAGACTTCAGCTAACTTACAAAGATTTAAGTTAAAGCAGTGAGGCTTATTTTCTTAAAACATCTCAGAATCTATTCAAATCAGTCTTTCCATTTTAAAGAATTGCTGTTTTTGAATTTTAACACCAGTTAATTAGCCATATTGAGTACTGAAATCTTAATTTCACACGAATATTATAAAACCACACATTTTAGGAACTACATAGGGAAGTGGCAAAGAAGGTAAAATGAACTTAATGATATCAGACTTATTAATTAGTCATAATATTGGTATAGCACTTTTCATCTTATCATATGTTTTCACATACTTATATCAATTGGTTCAATCATCAACCCTGCACAGGTAATCAGTAGTGAACTTAAAATAATGCAATTGCCTTGAAACCATTCATGACAAGTTATGACATGTAAGATGATAATCATTTATTCTTCATTCATTCTGGGAATGGAATTTTAAAAGTTTGATCATATTATGCACAATTAGATTACTTAAATCCCAGACATGAGGATGATTCGGATTCTCCATCCCTGATGTAAGTCAGGTTAATAACAGCTACCATTCATTGGGCACTTATGTGCCTGATGCTGTCCTAATCATGTTAAATATATGATCATACTTAATGCTTACAATAATTCTGTGAGGTAGACACCATCACAATGCCCATTTTTCCTTTCTTTTTTTCTTTTTTTTTTTTTTTGGTATGGGGGTTGAACTCAGGGGCACTTAACCATTGACCAGAGTTGCTTAGCGCCTTGTTTTTGCTGAAGCTTGCTTTGAACTCACAATCCCCCTGCCTTAGCCTCCCAGGCAAGTGCCACAGCACCCAGCAACAATGCCCATTTTTCAAAGTAGGAAACCAAAGCCCAGAAGGGCTACTTGAAATAGCTACTAAATGACAAAGTCAAGATTCCTCTGACTTTCTGTTTAAATAAAAAGATAGATGAGGTGTTCCTGAATATTTCCCTGGACACTATTTCTGTACTCATAAGCACTTCATAAATATTTATTAAATTACTTTATGAATAAATGCAGGTTTAAATAAACTGCCATTCATAGCCATCTTATAAATTAGATAAACTATTTCTATTTTACAGGTCATAAAATTCCAAAGAGATGAACGGCACATCATTATGTAGCAGCAGAGTCCAGACAAGGTAAGAAAGCCACTGTTAAAATTCCCAGGGTACTTGGAGAGTTTACAAAAGATGGTGGCTAAAGCTGAGTAAATTCAGAGTGAAGGCAAAAAGCAATGGTTAAAGAGAAAACAGAGGGGCTGGGGATATAGCTTAGTTAGTAGAGTACCTGCCTCCTAGGCATAAGACCGATGGGTTCAATCCCCAGTTTCACACAAAAATAAAAAAGTCCAAACCAAACTGAATAACAGAAAAAAATGGATCAACTTGTGAATAAGTGGCTCTTACCTCTGTTCTTCTGTTTATTTTACTATTAAGTTTGTTAATAATATGATTTAATGAAAATATTTTGAAAGAAGAGACAAAATTTAATTTTTAAAAATTTAAGTCCACCTTTCAGACACAAATGAATTTGCTGTGATTTGTAAAATGTAAAAATGGATGGCTCTTTCCATTATTATCTCTGAATATAAGAGGTTGATATAATCTAAGCTTTTTTATCCACATGCAATATTACTTATATTCTTTATTAAAATTATTTTCTTTAAAAAATTTAAGTACAATTACACAAAGAGGATAGGTATAATAAAATGACAAAAAGCAACTAACAGACTAAAGTTTCTAGAAAAGATATGAAATGACTAAACACTTGAGATGGCAATATGTTTCCAGCTATTATCAAAAAGGAGAAAATCTCTTATTATAGAAAAGCTACACCTCAGGAACCCAAAATCTGTGAATATATACACAGGACCCATATAGTATATTCACAGGTTGTAATATCAAAAGGAACAAGTAGTATAGAACCAGAAAGAATTCTGTATGTTATAATGACAAACACAACATTTAAAGGAGTTATTTGGTGTTGGGCATGGTGGCACACGCCTGTGATCCTAGCAGCTCCGGAGACTGAGACAGGAGGATTGCAAGTTCAAAGCCAGCCTCAGCAATGACCAGGCACTAAGCAATTCAGTGAGACCCTGTCTCTAAATAAAATACAAAATAGGGCTAGGGATGTGGCTTAATGGTTGAGTGCCCCTGAGTTTAATCCTCAGTACTCCGCCAAAAAAGAAAGGAGTTATTTGTACTCCTCCCCATTTCCACCTAATCACATTATTATAACCAACCTGGCTGTATTTCTTTAGCAGCTCTTCTTGTTCCATAGCAATAGTCCATGCCCACAGACCACTGGTTTGCTTAGATCTATATCTTAAAACTTAGGCTACTCCTTTTTTTGTATGTCCCAGTCTGCTGCTGCCACCTGTCCAAGGTCTCTTACCTATAAAGATGTCACAAATATGTCATAATCAACTCTTTATTTTACCAGTTGTCATGGCAACTTTAAAGTTTTCCTTTCAACCTGTAGTTGCCACAAGAGAAAGTCAAATACAAGTTGAACATCAAGCCAAAAGAACACCTCAAACCTCCCAAAAGATTTATTTGAAATGCAAAATAAATTTGGCAGGCAATCATGATGTGAATCAAACCCGAAATGATGGCCAAATTAGCACCCTTCATCTCATATGTTCTTTTTTTTTTTAAAGTTGTGGATTAGTTTTTTAATTAATTAATTTTTAAAATTAATTAATTTTTAGTTTATTTATTTTTATGTAGTGCTGAGGGTCTAACCCAGTGCCTCACACATGCTAGATAAACACTCTACCACTAAGCCATCACATATGTTTTTGAGCTTCCCCTACACTAGGAAGCTCCTGAAAGTTAGGGATGCAAGTAAATTATCTACCTTTAAGGAGTTAGAAACCGTATATGGTCAACAAATGATTCTTTATTAGCTGTCCAAGGTGGTGCAGTCCTTTAATCCTAGGGGCTCCTGAGGCTGAGGCTAGCCTCAGCAGTGGTGAGGTGCTAAGAATTCAGGGAGACCCCGTCTCTAAATAAAATACAAAAAACAAAATAGGGCTGGGGCTATAGCTTAGTGGCAAAGTACCTGCCTGGCATGCATGAAGCACTGGGTTCAATCCTCAGCACCACCTAAAAA